GTTCCTTGGCGTTGTAGTAGGCGATGCGCTCAAAGTCACCGGCGGGAACAGAGGCGGATGCGGAGCTGCTGGGCTTGATGATGGAGTCCACACCGCTCTTTATAGCACTTGCGACGGAGCTGACGGCCGCGGCCGCAGCGTTGACAGCAGCAGTGGCCTCGGGAGCAGTAGTGCTGGGGCCAAAATAGTTGTTTTCCCACGACACAACCTTACCGTCGATGGTGGCTACAACATTATCTGCGCGCTTCTCGGCCTCGTGCTCGTGGTACTTCTTGTGAAGGTGTTGGTGGCCATGGCGCTTGGAGTGAGGCTTAGGAACGTCGCGCTTGCCCTTGGACGACGGGGTGTAGACGGCAACAGAAGCCAGTTCGAGAGGACCCCGGAAGTGCAACGTTATCTACGATTGAGTTAGCGGCAGGAGAATCGGTTATAAAGGAAATGTCACTCACATCCTCATCGAATGGGGCGATGGGACCAGAGTAGTCCTTGTCCTCAAAAGTGCATTCTCCCGAGTCAGTCATCTGGGAGACAGCCCGGTACTTGCCAGGGATATCGAGTCCAGTGTACTTGATCTGCTTGACAGCGTTGGGGCAGAAGAAGTTTCCAAATTCCTCGAACGCATCGCTACAGTACCCGGCATTTGCGACCGTAGCCGTGGCCACGGCGAAGGCAATAGAATACTTCATGTTGAATTCGCGTGGAATGTCCTTGATAATGATGTTTGCTTTCCGTCTCAAATGAGGCTATCCAGGATTATGTGTTCTTTCGTGTCTAACTGATCCGCGTCTTTGGACAGATCTAGGTAGAATCGTCGTGTGGAATGCGGGTTTCCAGTGGGCCAGGAAGCACAGTAGCTATCTAACGAATGTGGCAAGCAAACACACGATCCAAAGAAGCGCAAACAATGGATGCGTAACCCTCGAATAGAATGTTTGTTAAGGAGCGGCTTGGTGAGAAATTCACCGGATAACAATGAGTGACTTTTAGCAAAGTGCTTCCGGGCAAAGAAAGACGACGACAATGAATATTGAAGGTCAGTAAGAAGGGAGAGAAAAGAATCAAGTAACGAATGGAAAGGGGGTGGGTGAATTGAGATTAAAGAAGGACTTGGCGACGTGGAGGGGGGAGGGGTGGGAACAGAAAGAGAGTCGGTTTCAGAGATAGACGCCACCACACTGGGATGCACTGGGATGCACTGGATATACTGGATGCAAGGATCTCATTGGAGGTCAATGGTGGTTACTGGATGTTATTGGTAGGCCTTCTTCTTTCCAATCTTCTAAACAGGGCATTAAAGGGGCACTAAGAGCTGCAAGTGGTTGGTACCTGCGTCCTGCATAAATCGGGTGACTTGGCGAATGCCGCCAATTTGGCTGGAACTAACAAGTACTTGATCTATTCCCATCTGATCCTGAAAGTGGGTAAAGATCAGGGGGATCTGCGGCTAAGCCAACAATTGGCGAAGGTTAGCGGCCAGGAACCGTCAATAGGAACACACCACATATTCGTCAGAGTTCGTCCGATTTTATTTCCTCTTCGCCTCCATTCACCAATTCATCCTGTTACTACCCCTTCATTCCACGGATTATGAATGGATCTCGTGAGGCCTGATCGTCGTAACGCTACAACCTAGCACCCATGTTGCCCACTCACGGTTAATATTAGGGTCATTGCCAATGCGCCCCGATAGGCTAGACCTCTTTGTGCCACTCATCCTCGTTACTACCACGCCTATTTTGTTTGTTGTGGATATACTCTAATTAATCAGATGAACAACCACCAGCACTTTAACATAGAAACCGTTGAAGTTCTTGATGATCAACCTAAAAATTAGAATGATGAGATGTTTGCACGACAATTTTCACTTGGCAGACAGGGTATACGAGGCGAATCAATCTGGGGCCAGACCTTTTTCTATCCTTACCTACTTAGCTTGTTTAGTGGACAACAAGGAAGGAGGATTTAGTATATACGATGGATCAAAAGGGGCACCGAGACTCTATTCTAATTTTCCGAACCTGCTAGTCATGTCAGTCTAACGGTCCGACAGACCCTTAAATGGTAAATTGACCTGCCAGAACAGCTAACATCCAGTTCTAAAGCATTATTGGGATTATTAGATAATCTCAATTAACCCCATACCCCAAGTCTTCCAAGTCCCAAGATACCAAATCTCGCCGAATGTTACGGAAGAAACCAGGGCCAAGGACTATAAGACTCTTAGGTTTAATGAGGGTAATTAACAAAACTTCCAGCAACCTTTTCAGATGCCTGATTTATTAACTTGGGTAACTAAAATAGCTAGCGTAGGAATCTGACTGAAGGATATGCCGAGTTCGATTTTTTTTTCTTTCCTGACCGTTTATCGGTAGTTCACCAACGGATCTAATAAATAGCGCAGTCATTGACACGTCATCTTGCTGATTGCAGCTGTCGTGGATAGCGGGGGTCTTATTATGACCATTCAGCGACAGTGACGATGCTGGCGACATTCCGTTGTGCGCAATCCGCGAGCCGGCTCAAGGACGCTACTCCTTGCATCATTTCATTGCGACTAGCACCCGCAGAGGCCAAGAAGCTTACGTGTGTGTCGGGAGTCCTTTATCGTCCATTCCCATGTGCTGGCTAGACCGCAAAATGACGCACGTGGCTTGCTTTCTAAGTCCCTTATCCCTAGGCGTTGGGGATGCCGGCGTCGTGCTCCAATAGTGTTGTCTCACACCCCTCTTCACAAAAATCGTCGTAATCTTTGCGCCTCGGTCCTGGTAGTAGAACTCATTGTGACTGGTCACTTGCGGTTCCGATAGGGTTTGCTGCATCCGAGTGCCGACGGGATCCCGGAAGCCTGCAGCAATTAAATGGATGTGATTTATTTCGAGGGCATTTTCATTCGGGGCCTCCCGACAATTGGAGCTGCAAGCACCCGAATACCCAAGACATTTGCCATGTGCTCAGCTAGTACCAGATCGTTGCGGTTGATGTCATAAAAAAAACCAAGCAAATTACATTTTCTCTATGATATTCAAATGAAAATAATCCTTTGACGTAACTTTCATTCTTAGGAAATGTTATTTACGATTATTCCCTAGCCAGAGATGGCCATGTTTTATGACAGTAATCCAATTTCAAGATGCCCAGCACATTCCAAGTTTCTAATATGGCGGTCTGGAAATTGTCCCTAGCAAGCCAAGCACCGGCCGAACCTCAAGACACATCAGCAAGCTCTCTTGACTAATTAGAAAACACTACCTACGTACGATAAAGTATAAAAACTGGCTTGTATCACTGGGATGTATCATGGATCCTGTATATTCAAGCCCCCAAGGTGTATGTAATGGGGTCTAGATGCCCCTTTGTTCCCTTACCAAGAAACAAAGGTGCCCATTGCAAGCCCTTATAATCTCGCTCTAGAGAATCATATCATTTCTGGTTAGTTACGAGCGAGCGCACAATATACACAACATATGTGGTTAATTAACTTACTCCAGTATTAACCGTCGGACAATCTGGCAATGGCATACGGATGTATGTAAGACAAGAGATTTTTCACAGATAGATATGCAGTGCATGGGAATACCTCCATCCAGGTCTCTAACTTGCTCTGTCTATTTATTCCCTTAGTCTTTGTCTCCTTTGTTTCAATATCCTGCAGGACGCTAAGAACTATTCTAGTAAAACTAGAACCATGTATATCGTCGACTGTCGCCAGTAGTTCCCAGATCATGCTGTCACCTTGGTTGGTGCGTTGTTATACCGTCAATAGCTCCTAACACATGGCGCAGATATTGAGCTTACTTCGCCAAGGTTGTTATCCTAAAGTAAGATGCCACCAGGGTTATGTCCGGATCCTGGATAGGACCGTCTCGTTGCTCTTCACTATGATGTTTGCGAGTAATCACGCGGGGTCGCAGACACCGCTACGCATTGTGCCAGTAGCAAAAGATCGAACGTGCCTGTTCTATATCCTCTTGGTACCAAGCACTGGTAATTTGATCCGTTTTGGTCCGAAGCTGAGCAGGGATGTCCTCTCTGAAAAGCTTCGCGATCCTCTGTTCTTCCCGACCTTGTTCATGCTGTGGCGGGCAGATTGTAGTACCTAGTGGGGAAAACACTTAGCAAGGCCATATGAAGTATCTGGTTTGATTGTGCAACTTGTCTTACTGGTTAGACATACTGAGAGCCTTATTGACCTGATATCATTTGAGTCGCTAAAGGGGCACGCTTGACGATTCATATAGCCGGTTTTGCACCGTAACTACGATGGCGAGCCGAAACCTAGTTTTGTTTGAGTGAGAAGTTATGTTGGGGTCGATAGATCATCTGCGGATATTGAAGTAACAGATAGCTAGAATATATGACGATTCCTTTAGTTATTGTGTTGAGCCTATTAGGGCAGGTGTCTGTATGATGGGCTAAGGTGTCATGACCCTTTTGGTCTACGGGTATTCCGAACTCGTAACTGTTAATTAAAACCATTCTAGGACTAATCGAGGTTTATAACAAGTTGAAGAGTCAAAACTTGCATCTTAACACAACGAGACTGTTAATGAATTGCGATATTTACGGCTTCACAGGTTCCTAAAAATAGGGGTATCTTCCAACACTACGTGATGGGGTTTCGATTGTGGAGGGAGCTTCATATATGACTTCTATTTCCAATTTTTTAAGTGAAACCTTGCGCCTAGTAGTCTTCTGCCTTAATGAAACCTAATTTGTAATAGGAATTGCCATTAAGAGCTGACGTACTTTCGTGAACTAATAGCGCGAAGAGATCTATAATATATCATATTGCACGCCTGGAGCGGGACCTACCAGCAAGTTCCAAGAATGTCCATGTGCTATTAAATTCCGTTTAAACTGACTTACTTCGATAGTTGAAATTGAGAGTAAGGCTCAGATGCTGGCAGCTTGCTTGCACTAGGATATAAACTATTGCCCACGCCAACCTTTCTCAAGCTACGAAACCTAAGTCAAGATAGATCAAATATTGATCCAGTCTAGCGAAGTTTAAACGCCAACTTCTACGAATCTCAACTTTATGTAAATAGCAATATACTATTAAGTCTCACATGTTCGACTGTTCTTATAAATCCCCACAGGCCCCAATCTCATATCCTACCTCCCTACGTTGCCCTAGTAGACTTGAGTTTTCGACCAAGAGATACTTGCTTCCAATCCTATCTCTTCATACCAAACGTCATGTCGAAAACGGAGGGGCTTCGCTCTGAAAGGGAACCACTGCTTGAGCAGCGTCCCCGGTTAACGCATCTCAGCCCTATTCTCTTCTATGGAGCATATACCTGCTTTATTTTAGCTGTAGCTTGTCCGGCATTACTGTACGCTTACGCCCTCTACAACACATGCTGGGCATCTGCAGGACTTCTAGCCTTCCTCTACGGAGCTACTTGGATAAAACGCGCAGCATTCACCGTCTCATTCCTCAGTCTGCTGTGCAAAGGTTCACCCTTGGGAGTCGTGATAATGCTCCTCATGGACGAAAACTTCCGCCATGCCGCCATACCCGCTATTGGATGGTATACAATTCTTTCCATCATCCTGGCCTTTTACTTGGGATTGTTCATGGTTGGCGTATACGGACTCCACGCTTTAAAGAGGAATGGCGAACATCCCTATCTGGTACGCAAGCTCATCCCACTGCTTCCGTGGTTATGGAATGCCTTCGCGTTAACATTGCTTCCGCCATGGGGAAGATTCACCCTGGAGGAGTTCTGCGGGGATAATGAGAAGTGCTGGTATAGTACCTCTGTTCACCCAATATGGGATGCTCGAAGATGTAAAGGCGATGCGAAGGATGACGATATAAGCTTGCATGGGGAGCAAAGGAATCCAGTATTCAGTCCGACACCCAAGGTGAACGGTCGCTTTGGCCAAAGACACTGATAAGGACTAAAATCGCAGATTCCGATGTGACAAGTTCGCATTGTTTGCCTTTGCGAAAGGCTACTGATCATCAGCGAAGGAGACGCCGACCTATGAAGCACAGGGAAGCGTAAGGAAGCATCAGTGAGTTGGGTAGTTCTCCATCGTGGACAGGCTGATGAGGCTTCTTTATCGGTCTGCGCTGCCTTCCGGTGGATATCCTAGTCGAGCAATCTCGAATATATACTCCTAATCGGGCACCGTTACCATTCAAAACAATTCAAGGGTAGAAGTCACGGGAACTAGACCAGTACTTTAGCTGGCGGATCCTTGTACTACCATTTGGTGACTAATAAAGGCACAAATTCATTCGTCGCGTTGCACAAAGTATGCAGTCATCCTAGGGAGTTATCGTAGGGTACCATGGTACTGGGTCGCATTCTTGGGGCTCTTTTATGCGTAAGCAGCGTCGACGACATTCCAAGGCGCGGCTCCATGAGTCTCGCTAGATATGAGGTTATACCGTAAAGGTGATCTATGGTTATAGGGATGCAATATGTTGTCCATGTCATAACAATCATCACTCATTATATTTTCGTTAGCTAAAGCCTCTTGGTGTCCCTCCCTCCCTCCCAACCTTTTATGAGGCATATCATACAGTCAGGAGTCTTTCTTCCGAACGCCCAACTGCTGCTGGCGCAGGTACAGATACCTGGGTTTGACTCGACTTTACCGGCCTCAGATCAATACCTTCGTCGTCTCCCTCTCTCCTTGTGAATAAAGTCGTGGCATCGGAGTTAAATTGGTTAAATTGATTTACTTGCCGCTCTGGACCCTTCGTCCGAGGAACATTCCTTACAACATCGGGTTTACTGGACGGCTTCCGGCCCATCAACTGCCTAACCACAGGCTTCAGCATCGGCACAGAGGCGCAAACCAGTCCCAGACTCGACTCCAGCGTAGTCCAGATGGCGAAGGAGAACGAGTCCCACTGCGCATATTTCGGGTTGAGGAATTCCCATGCGACCGCCATGCGCGTCAGGGAAGCGCACGCGACGAAAATACCCAATGTCAAGACGAATGCGAGGGCAATTTTCTGCCTTATCGGAAGATGCATCTTAAGTATATGGGGGAGGACCAGGCCAATCATCCACAAATCGGTGGCCGAGTGCAGGGCGGCCGACGCGGTTAGAATCGGATAGTACGGCAGACACTGTCCCACACTGATGTTGAATTCGTATACGTTCTCCACTGGGTTGCACAGGAAAAATGTGAGGAGGAAGAACACAGTGCCGTAGATCGCGACGCAGCCGAGAGTGACGAAGATGAGCACTCGTTGATACGGCAGCTTCAAAATCCGAAGGTAGAAGAACAAGATGCTGACTTTGGTCAGGACCAAGCTAACTTGGTACGTGCTTATAGTCGCGTAAGATAGCCGGATGCCAATCGGTCGCAGGTGGAGCGGTATGTTGCTGAACTTGTGGCCGAGGCCATATTCCGTCTCGACGCCTACGATGGTAACCACTGCGATGGCAAACAGCCACGCCAAGAGGATGAATGCATCGTCCCACCACTGGTTCTTCAATAACAATCTCGAATAGAGGCGGCCAATAACTATGATGCTTGCGAAGACTAGTGGGATAATGATGCCGGCTAAGATGTCAGGGACCTCTGAGGGGCCAGTTAACTATCACGGCACTGTAAGCAATTCGTACGCCCCGACAGTTCGGCCCTAACATTTTGATAGCCAGAAGGTGGAGATTGCTTACTTCTGTTGGTGCTTGTTTGGCCATAAAGGAGATATGCCGCGAAGAATATGGAGAGCCGAATGTCGCAAGCTTAGCGATGTTATGAAAAGCATTGAAGCGGGATTTTCACCGCTCAGTTTCGTTGACTGCTAAGCTGACGCCAACCTCCATATATAATGCAGGAGGGCTCTTCCAGAGTAGGGTTTAGGCTATCATGATGGCAATATATGTATGTGTCAGCACACAGGGCGATCGCTCGTAGTCGATCGATCCAACTACGACGGTCGTTGCTCGAAGCAGAATGTTGGTTGGGAGGCTGATGACCGATGATTGATCCCCGCTTGAAATCTCACTTTCTTGGTATCATGATGCCCACCAATAGAGAGCCCGCGGCGAGAAATGTGCTTGAGAAGGACCGCTGACAACGTAGTATTGTGTAGCATGGGTACATGGTGGCCGTGTCTGTAGACCTGGGGTATGTACCGATTAATCATCGCTCGTACTTTTGAGCTTGTGCTCCCTTAGGGCTGGGTTGATTTAAAAATATCGCGATTCTGCCAATAGCGCGTCCGCTACCCCATGTAAACCCTCACTTTCTAGTGTAGCAGGGTTTAATAAACAACACCGCCAAGGTACTAGAAGAAGGGAGCTAGGGACTTAGCTGCTTCTCAAAAGCCACTGCAGCTGCTAGAGAGCCGAATATCGACCTATCCCCGCTTGACGGGTTCCGATGTAATACGATCGATCATAGTATTTTATTTAAAGCAAGCCAAGATCAGGACGTATGTTCTTTTATGGGTGAATTGTCTTGAGGCCGGCGAGTTCTAGACATGTGCACTACTATTTTCGGTGTCTTTGGCAAAGAGAGACCCTGCCTTACCATCACTCAAAGTTCTACGTAGCTTCTTTTTCTTGTTCAAGACCGGAAGGAATCTATCCCATGTCGTCATCTTGGTCGTGCGATGATGGCTAGCTATTTAATCGTGATACCCCGGATCATGCGCGGAAGAGGTTGGCTGACGGTGGCAAGTAATATTTGAATCGATTTTTTTTTTCGGAAGCTGAAATTGAGCATCATGAAGCTTGAACCCCGCGATTAAATCCCGGAGGCCACCTGCCGCTGGTCAAGGGCTAGATAGTGTACTGGACCTAAGTAGACAAACTATCGCCGTGAACCCTTACCGTGTACTTCTTCACTTACCTACCTAATCATATACGGTAACTTAAAAATCACGGAGTGGTGGCCAGAATACGGCGGTGAAAACCTGGAAGAGAATGTCAGTGGATAGATCACGAGCGCCGAGACGTTGTGTTGTATTCCGCTGTAACCGTGCTCCACTTAGTCATCCACCGCCTGAAGCAACTAATTTATTGTAATTCTCTACCATTTATTTCAGACTCTGCTCCTTTTCCAAGCTGCTTGAGGCTGAAAAATGTTTACAAAAATAGACAATTTTAGCTAGTTACATTTGCGATTCGGGGTTTGCTGGATTGCAACCCATGAACAATTATGCCGGCGTGCATTTACACTAATGACATATGTACAACCATCAGGGCACTTCAGCACAACAAGGGTCCCTACCAGCCACCTAATTTGGAGCATTAGTCCCTCAAATTACAGAGATGGTTAGGTATCACTGGCACCGAGATCGATCTCCTCATACATACAAATTTGGTACTTCCACCTTATTCGCGTAACGTTACCCATTGATCAGCTTCATATCAAACAGATAAATTTGGTATATTGATCTCATAGGATATTGCATTCATAGCAGGTATCAATAAACGATGAACCGACCTGGACCCCACAGTCTTCTTCGCATAAGGTCCGAAGGACTATATTTAGGGTTAGGGGACCAATCAAGACTCAAGGAGAGACAAAGTTCGGGCTACACTAAGTCACGAAGTATATAACAGAACCAATCAAGACCTAGCCAAAGATCTATAGGGTTCTTCGTGAGTTTGATGCTCTTTAGGTACCTAGTCTCTAAATTTAGGCATCCCGTCAAAGAGCTCCGGTTCTCTATCTACACTTTAGTTAACTAGTAGGTTACTTATATAGAACAAGTTTGGTCTTAATACTACCGCCCTACGGCAATGGTCTCTCAAACAATTACCTTGCTACAAGCTAATCCGCAAAGACGAGCACATAGGTTGTCTCTAATTATGAATTTGCGGTCTCTAGCTTTCGGAAAATACGACTTAGTATGCGAAATAATGCGACCAAGATAGTGATGTCCTACGCCAGTCATTGGATTAGTAAGACATGTGGCACAGTATGATTCTATTCAAATGCACACGGTCTTCCGCAATTGACCTAACCTAGTAGCAAGCATCCCGTAGCGAACTTCGAATATCGCATTTTATTACTACCTTGCTTTATGATGTAAATTACGTATAAGAGACTGAATAATGTAATAATTGTATTTGTAAGTTCAATCGCGAGTGTCCTTACGACTGATGTGCGGGACGGAATGCGCTAGAGTAGCCACTGTTTTCTACCTAAGCAGCTGCTGAGATATTATCTCGCCAATAAACTTCAACTGCATGACTGTGTTTTGAGAGTTTCTATCTAGGTATCCGTAGAAGGTATATTAGAATAATGTTATGTTTATAATGCTTGCCTCAATAGACTAGCAATCGACTAGTTCTCTTTAATGAGTGCTCCTCTGAGCTAGGGAGCCAAAAAGATACTGCTGATTAGATCAATTCGCCTGTCTTGTGTGCATGCCTAAGGTTGACATTAAGGCGTGAACCCCGATTGCGATTGTTAATCCAGGTAGAAATAGGGGGAAACATGGCATGGCTTTATATGAGAGTTGCTATGATCCAGCTCCTACCAGACGGATCTGTCGAGTCCATAGACTTTCTTCTTAGACTTGTCGCGTATATAAATGTAGGTTCTTGGATATAAACCGTGAGTGTTCCAATAGCGGTATAGAAATATTACCTTGGGTACCTTATCCGAGAATACTTTGGTGGTGAAATTTGGCGATGCTTAATCCGCACTCTCCCCCCTATTTCTGCTTAGCAACTTAAAAGGGGAGTCGGTCGTACCAGGGCAAATTCTAGCCACGTCTCAGAATATAGACCATTTGATATTTATTTCAATTGGGAATAATTGTTTTTGAAGTTGGCAGGCTCCCCCACGCGATTATACGCAAAATTACTTGTGACAGCAATTGCGCCATCGGAGACGTTAATCATGACATCGGGCTTGACCCGGAACTGGGACTATGAACCAACCTAGGACCAATCAGACATTTCAATCAACCGGAATCTCGCACTTGAACATCACGACAGCTAACCCCGTCATGGCGAAGTTGAGCTATTGGATCCTTATCAATCGGTGATTACGAATCGCGATAGTCTATACCTTACTCTTCTATGATCCAAGGTTCATGGCAATTTCGGCCGTACCCGTTAGTATGTTTTTAAATCATGTTTATATCCTTTCATAAGTTCACCTCTTCCCCTCGCTTCAAGCGTCGCGACCGACATCTATCCTCAGTCGGTGCCGCTAACTCGTTTACGCTCGAGGGGCAACCATTACTTGCCAACATGGCTGAACGACAATCCTCTCCATCAAAGGAGGTAGCAGTCAATGAGTCTTCGCTTGATATACCGGG